GAAATGCACTGGCTCCTGAGAGATGTCCACTAAGTTGGCTATCTGTCGCTGTGTCACTCGTCGGTCGTCCATGACTATGTCCAGGATTCGCTGTACCTTTTCAGGTGTTGAAGACACAACAGGTGGACCAGGACGGGGTTCATCATCAGTGCTCCATCGCCCACGTTTAAACTCTGCCACCCATCTTTTCACTGTTGCATATGACGGGGCATCTTCCCCTAGTGTGGATAACATGTCCTCATATATGGCATTGGGTGTTAAGCCTTTCTTGTAAAGGTATTTGATAACAGCTCGCGTTTCCTGTTTCTCCATTTTAAGTCATCTCATAACCCCCCTTGCAGTCAATAGCTTATACTAAACTAAATAATGTGTCCAGTACAACAATCCTCCTGTGTATGTCACTGTACTTGATCAGTCTATCACCACCACAAAGGAATTCATCCGTACCACACTCCTTCAGAGGTAGGCTCACAACTTATCAATCGCCCCTCAGTATATGTCAATGTGGCATCCAGGGGGTTTACACTCTTAAACCATAACATTAAATACAGACGACATAGGTGAACATTCGACTGAAGCACAAGCAACTTATCAATGACTTACAATCAGGAAAGTAGTCCATCATAATCTGACCTCAGGTCATCACCATGGAGTAGCCAATCGGGGGCCTTGAATTCGATCTCACACAGATGTTATCTCAAATGGGTTTCTCACCCACAGGTGTGTAAGAAAGTATTGTACTAAATACATGTAAACTGTTTCGTGCGTACTCTCCATCCTTCGTAGTTAGGCTCAGAACTATTTTCTGCCCCCCCCCCCCCCCCCCCCCCTCGAACATTGCACGAAATAAATTATTCACAAACGGCTTTATGTGAAGGTGACAAAGGGAACCTCATCTAATTCGAATCGTCAAACCTCGGTACGTGTACATACATGATAGTCACAAAGAAAATCAACCTGCTGAAACAAAGGGCATATCACACCCTTTTTGTGATTTTTTCCGGGGTAGATTACGTCTTCAGCAAACCAATACTTGCCGTAAAAGGCGACTATGCTTGTCGTAAAGATACGACTTACGGGATCGGTTGGTCAGGCTCGCTAAGTTGGTTGATGCAAGTCATCGATCCCAGTTGCATGGATCGAAGCTCATGATATTAATCATTAGATTGTCTGGTCCAGACTCGACTATTTACAGACCGCCGTCATTTGGCTGGAATATTGCTGAGTGCGGCGTCAAACAACTAACCAACCAACCAACCAACCAATAGACAAAGCAGGATAAAATAGTGTTTGGTCCTGTATGTCGTCCACAGACGGAGTTGTGTCAGCCGATTTCCCTTGAATCTGATCCTATTAATAATTGTCAAGGCTCCAAAACATATATTCACAATCGGGATCCGAGCTATAAAATATTTAATATCGTTATTTCGATTTTGTTCTTACAGCCGCCTAAACAAATAAGATTAACTCAGGTCAAATTGTTTAAAATCATTTTGAAAACACTACTTTGATTGCCTGTTGGTCATAAGGACAAAATACTTGTATATGAAACCTGTCTTGTTTGACTATCGTATTTAAGAAAAAGTGTTATAAATAGTTATGACATGTCCATAATTATAAACAAGAACTAGATGTTGTTCATTTCAACACTTGTGTGTTATCGACTTTTATCATGTATGCCTATCAATGATATGACACATATTACATGTGCGATAGCGCCAAGATGGAGACGGTCATATCACAGGGGTGTAATAGCCAGACCTGTAGTACACCCCCTGCCGGGCTGATATGGATTATCAGTGCATTTTGAATCGGCTCGTCTAGGTTTCCCGTGACAATGTCGTCTGAGCAGGGTGAAAATGTCACATGTCTCTAAATATAGGCAAAGTGAGAAAATCGGATGATTAACCAATCTGTGTCATGATATAGTTTATCTTTTAAAACCACAAGTAATCAATAGTTCATTTTTGAAAAGTAAGAACACATTCCATAAAAAAACAGATCAGACAAAAGAGGAAATATGTTTAAATGGTTTATAAGTCAATACACAATCTATATTGGTTTTCATAACATATCAAATTTTCCGATGCCGTTACGAGTCAGTGAGTGAGTATGGTTTTTACGCCGCTTTTAGCAATATTCCAGCAATATCACGGCGGGGGACACCAGAAATGGGCTTCATATATTGTACCCATGTCGGGAATCGAACCCGGGTCTTCGGCGTAACGAGCGAACGCTTTAACCACTAGGCTACCCGACCGCCCTGATTCCGTTACGAAGTCTAATGTTGCCTGCTATTGAACTATGAAATATGATAGGGCCCCATGTAAGTGTAATTACAGAAAATGAGCTGTCGCTCTCAAGTCCTGCACTTTTCTAAATTTAGTCTGATATAATAGTGGCATGGGCATTCCATCAAATAATGTTTAACTGTCTCGAGAGTATTTTCATCACACTGGATACTAATAGGGAGACCTTCTTATCAATGACGCTGGTGTTATCATTTTGAATAGTCTCCCCTGAAGGATATTTATAATCATAGGTAGATAGGTTGTTCATAAGGTACATGTCAGGACAAGGAGGGAAATCGGACGCATTAGACAATCGTTTTGTAAGTGAGCTTGGATTATTTGCTTTGATTCAGCATATTTCACATCAATGATATTAATATAAGATGTCCACACGCCCTGATGTTAGGATCGAATGGGATTTACATGGATCAAATGGGCCATCTACTGGCTGCTAATGTATACATACCACGAACCACTCCTGAGGAAAATCTGTTTCAGCGACCAGTAGATGGATAGCACTACTACGATAACGCACCAGCTGAGATTATTCATTGCGTAACCAAAGTGAAAGAACACAGTGACATCTGCGTTATATGTATTTGCTCTGGGGGAAGACACGAAGGGTATATATAAATATATAGTCATATACTGAGTCGCCTTTGTTAATTTGCATGTAATCAAGTACTCAGTTTTTCTATTTCTATACATGTTGTATTGCATTCAGTAAGTTATTGCGTATGCATGAATGTATGTTTGTAAACTTCGATGCTGACCGTTATCAGAAGACAAATGTGTAAATCAGAGAAATCTCAGCTCGCAACAATTTGGGGTAGGAGCGGGCGATAACTCTAATCAACATTACGCAGTCACTTTTCAAAACATACAAGTTACACATTCGATTGTAATAAATCAAGCTGTTGTATTGGCTGGTGACCACATATCTCCAACATATGCATTCGCTATTTATTGTGTCTCCTCAGTGGCATTGGTGCTCCCGAAATAATTAGATCTGAACTCATGCTTTGTTATGCTTTCAATGATATAAATTATTTGTATCTATCAAATAATTGAAAGATATTGAAAATGAAAAAGAAACAAACGATCAAAATATTTCATTAATTATAATTTATTTTGTATATTTATTCCCAAAAAGCAAAATGATATTTGATCTACAGTAATTTCTTCAAGTTACTCTTTTCCTCTTTTTTAGTGAATCAGTATCTAATACTGTAAGTGAAGCATACCCAAACTTGACCTAAGGTCACGACCTTTGTCCAATTACAGACAACTTTGACACATATTGTAGATTAAATTTAATATTTCAGAATTCTTGTGAGAGTTTAAACTGATAACGGATCAAATCAGTTAATATGAAGTAAGTGTTACACAAGAAAGTATCTAATACAAAATGGGTAAACTTGAATAACCTGTAAAGTCAATCATTAGGATACAAGTTTGATAATCAACTCATTCCAATCAATATGCTGGGGAGGTGAACAGTTTCTTGATCAGGAAGTCCAGGTTCGTTTCCCGACATGGGTACAATACATGACTCCCATTTCTAGTCTTCCCCGACGTAATATTTGCTGAAATATTACTGAAATATTGCTGAAATATTGCTGAAATATTGCTGAATTATTGCTGAAATATTTGCAAAAGCGGCGTAAAAACATACTCACTGATGGATCAAATGGATCAAGACACATCTTTTTAGCAATCACTGACGGCATCTGTAAATAATCTAGTCTGGGCCAGACAATCCAGTGATTAATGTTTGAGCAACTAGCTGTGCCGTCAGGGTACGCTGCCATGCAAACAACCAAATATTCGATCCCGTCCACCCGATCAGTTTGTCGACATACACAATCAACCCTAATGGGTTTAGGGAACCAAATCTAAATCGAATAAAACACGAAGGTTGTTGAGTTAAAGACCCATTCAGGCAATGGCATTGTTTAACTTAAACTAGTGCACCCGGTGCCAGAGGTAGTTCAATACTACAAGTGTAAAAGAGTGTAGCTGTGTAATACTACTAATCATTGTAGAACAATTACTTTCTGGGGTTAAAGTAGAAATGTTGAATTGTGACTCAATACCCGAACCCGGGGACCAGGGATGGAGACGTAGCTAGACTGAGAGGACAAGTGTGTACCAGATATACATCAGTTGGAATAAACATCACCAGTAATAATCAAATCTTACGATTAATCGGGGAATACTTTGTGCACCTCGGCGTCCTGTTTCTCATTGCATCCATTTAACATATGCACAGCGGAACAAGCCGATTACAACTCAGAATTTTGTACAAATTGTAGCGCCATCTGGAGTTCTTTAGTGTACTTTTGTGTGTACAGACGTTCTTTATTCGGCACACATTGTTCTTTCTTTCATGCGGCGTTTCTTCTTTGAAGGTTGTTCATTAGTATTTGTTTTGTGTTTTCACCTTGATCAGTAACATTTGATCAGTAACATTTGATCATTTTTTCTATTATTGCGTACTGGTGACCTTTATTTATATCAACTAATGTATTTTTTCACCGAATGGCCTCCCATAGATATATAGGTAGCTAGGTTGAGAGCACAAGTGTGAAGTTTAAGAACAACAAAACGCAGATGGCCGTCCAGATCCACCCAGGAATGTGACATCTTCGTTAACCTGGAGGAAAACACAATCACGCTGTTTGTTTTCGTCCTTTTCCGGCGGAGGCGATACAGAGACAATGCTGGACAGGGGCCTGTTGTTCCTACTACTACAGGGTAAGTTTATGTTGTTTGACTTGGATATAGGCAGCAGCACACAGTTGTGATGACGAAAACAGTTGTTTGGTTGGTATCCCCTGAGTAGAATGCAGTTAGACTATAACACATATTTCCATTCTATTGTACTTGAACTCACATCACACCTCTTCAAAGGCTAGGTCGTTTTATCACCTGAACATTCCATATTTCCATCCGCCCTGTCAATAGATAGTAAACTTTTCAACTAATCTGAACCACAAAACATATGACCCATATAACCATCGCAACAACATGTAAGGTGTATGTTTGTTGTTCCATTGATTGTTAATATTAGCAATTATATCAAGGACGACATATCATCGCATACATCCAGACCCCCCTTACAACAGCATACATTGGCTAAGTCCACAATACACATCAAGGCCACCCTTAAAACAGTTTTCAGCCTGATACATTAAGTCCCATCTTAAAGGCAACAAATGTTGAACACCCAATACATGAATTACTCTCTTATAACCATCATAGGTTGCCCTCGGGATACACCGAGTCCCTGCTCACAACCAGCAAAGGTTGAAAACCCCAAACTTTGGGTCATCTCCTACAACCAGCAAAGGTTGAAAACCCCAAACTTTGGGTCATCTCCTACAACCAGCAAAGGTTGAAAACCCCAAACTTTGGGTCATCTCCTACAACCAGCAAAGGTTGAAAACCCCAAACTTTGGGTCATCTCCTACAACCAGCAAAGGTTGAAAACCCCAAACTTTGGGTCATCTCCTACAACCAACAAAGGTTGAACTGCCAATACATTGAGTCCCCTCTTTCAACAAGGGAGGCACGGGTGGCCCAGTCGTCTAAGGTGCCGCGATTCGCTGTGCAGAGGTGCGTCCCTTGGACACTCCAGAAACCTGGGATTATGGGTTCGAATCCCGGTTCGCCCTGATTGTGTTTCTAGGTTTGTCGGCACTATACCCGTGCTCGTGGGTTTCACCGAAGTGGTAAACGTCTGAGACCTGCATCACTTCGGGCTTTCCTCCCACATTAAGCTGACACGCCGCGATATAACTGGAATACTGTTAAAAGCGGCGTTAACCCCAACTCACTCACTCACTCACTTTCAACAAGCCATGCTTTTCATCCTGAGTTTGTTTTGGGCCAATTCCTACCTGGAATCATCCCATCTACAAGATAGATCATAAATTTTAAATTAAGAATATATCTCCATAACTTTAAGATAAATCTATGTATAAGAAGACCTTATGACAAAAGGTTGATTGTGTTTGAAGTAGCTGTAATCTTGGAGAAATTAAAGATGAACACTGTGTTCTATTCAAATGCAAGAACAATTCTTTGTTGCGTAACAATATACTTGCCAAATATTCACAAACAGGTCCCATGAAAACAAGCACTTGAATTTGAATTCTGCAATCAAACAGACTTAATCGAATCAGTAGCTATCTCTCTCTGTTCACGAAATAAGCATTTCAACTGTGATTTCCCAAATAGGCATTTTATGATTTCTTCAAATGGCATAACTTGATATACTCTGCAATATGATTCTCCTGTTTGCAGTTGGTCGGTGGCGTTGTTGCTGTTCTCTGGCTGTAAGATTTGATGGCATGTAAATGTAAATCCAACAATTATATTGCCCAACAAGTGATGTTGCACGTGCATGTCGTATTGGTGTGTTTCGGCGGCAGGCTCTCACGTGGTTGTGTCTTTGCGATTTTTCCATCTATTCACTAAATTTCTGCAGTACCTCATTTTTTTCCACACAAATCAATACAAATTCATGCAGAAATTACCAATAGATTTTTGCTTTGTATGGATGTCGGCAACACTCCGTCAGATATTTACGATATTATTGCTTTGCAGAGTGTATATGTTATACATTTCTTTAATATATTGTCTATAGCAGATGCTGCTGTAACTATAGCTATATTGTGTTATGGACTGTACCGCCAAAACTTAACTGAAAGTTCGCATACCTATTGTATAGAATCTGTACTTTTGGCCACGTGCTGACCTATATACTAAATAAACGTGTCTTGTCTGCCTAATCCTGGAATCCCCGTGAGGGGTAATATTAAGAACACCAATTTGTCATTACCCTGCAATTTACACATGTATAGATATGAAATATGCATGCTGAGTTGTGGCATAGGAGTTTCTTTGGTTTCTGGTTGCAAATTGTTCTTGACGTTTTAATCATAACAGTCCGGTGAGTTACAGAGAAATGACGCCTCTCCACGTATATTGACATTCAGGTATCACATGTGTAACATGTGAAAGACTCACACATATGCATTGGTTGTTCCAATAGGAAATCCAAGACTGCTGCTTTCTCTCTTTCAGTACTGGGTGTACTGGGCCAGGAGTGTGCCGTGGGGAAATATGGAGGACGCTGTGAACAGAACTGCAGCCGAACCTGTGCCCCTTACTCCGGCCAGGATGTTCACTGTGACAGACACAGTGGCAAGTGTTCTGAAGGATGCATCCCGGGCTGGTACGGCGGTCAGTGCCAACTGTCCTGTAGCAGGAACTGTCAGCAGCACATCTGTAGTCACCAGTCTGGTCATTGTACCTTGGGTTGTAAAGGAAACAACATGGGGGATTTCTGTGAGACATCCCCAGGTATGTACAGAGTGGGGTTTGGAATCACAAACTATTGTTCTACAGCAAGTTAACTGTCAAAATATGGTCATTAATTTCCTTTCTGTCATTCACGTCATTGATGGGCAAAGCAATGTTTTATTGAAGATCACCTTATATTGTTTGCCAAAACTCTTAGTTATATAATATAACTATAATGTTTATGCAACTTTATGCATGATCTAACTAATGTGACAGTTGTTATTACCCAAATGCAAGAGATATGGTCTGAATAAATGATTCCACAATATCTCACCAAAATCATTACCTGGAGTTTCATATGAGGCGCCACTTAATTCACCCCAACAGGAAATCGAACCCTACCGTAGCTGAATCCTGCTGTTTATTCTACTGAAACAAACCATTAGGACAGCAACCTGTATGTCAAGGGCAGCTAACTCTGTCAGTGACCTTACTACCGGGGTGTGTACGGGCGAGGTGTTTTCATGCTGTTGCATGGATATCTAAGCAGGCCGACTATATAACATATGGAATATGATTGTGACTATACACAAACTGTTCATTATTCCACACTCACTAATTCAGACAACAACAGTCAAGTGCAGACACTTCACATGTTTCATATGTCACCATTTTCCTAGCATAGCCTGTTACTCAGGTCAATTGAATCATGGTTCAAGGTTCAAGATGCTTGCTTTAGTGTGGTATCACTTTCACAAAAGGTATTCTGGCATATAGGCTAGCACTATCGAGACAAATGTATTATTTTACAGAAAGTGGTCCAAAACAAGATGCAAGTGAACAGTCACAAGAACCCGCCTCAACACCACTGGCTGCCATACTTGTCCCTGTGTTCGTCATACTCATTATCAGCATCATCATCATCATCATCATCATCACTGTGTCTGTATACAGACGGCGAAGAAGACGCAGAAAGTAAGAATATATTTTACTCAAACAGGTGTAACGACGGTTCTCTGGTAGCACTCACTGAAGTGAGCTGTCAGAATACACAGTTGTAAAAACAGTAAAGTAATGAAAATCTCTACCACCGCTGTACACACTGTTTACCAGATACTGCTTGCTAGAGATGTAAGACGGGTGTCATAGGTGACGAGTTCTTTGGTACAATTTGCGAATGTTATCCTCTGCACAACAAATATAAAACGATCCTTAATTATCAGCTGTGTCATGTCAGACAGTAATTATTTTATCATAATGTCAGGATGTGTTTTATTTGATCGATTACTAATGTCATTTGTTATTCTGTTTCAGATCTAAACGGCGTAAGTATTAAGTCAGTAGTTGAAAGATACCAGTGATTACCAATGAGTAGTAACAGCATTTGAATTTCATTGCTGTGTGACCTTGAATTCAACTCTATCCAGGTCCGGCTCGTAGAAGTAAAACACAATTCTTCCTTTGTGTAGACGTTAGGTTTATTAACTCTAAAACTGGTGAAAATGATAACATGAGGGTAAGGTTGGGGCGGCAGTTTACTATGGCTGAGTTGCTACTGCCTAAATTATACGCCCATTGATTAAAGTAATTGCATAAACTTGGTGGGAAGAGGTGACATAGGGTGGAGTATTTAAAGGAGCAATGAGAGGCCTCCTTTACAATGACATGATAAAAACAAAACCTGTGTGGTTGAGTTCATAGTCCCATATCATGTCAATATACAAAATATTCACAAAATCTTATAATTGTAATGGAAATAAAGGGATGTCGTACAATATCCGTAGCTACACCTACGTACATATCTAAAAGAAATCGATGTCTACGCTTAAGAACAACAACGCAAAACGGATATGTTTGGCCATTAAAGCAAAATTAGGGGACCAAGAAGCTTCAAATGAAGTGGTTTAATGTGATAAAGTGTCAGTGATAAATTTCCCGGATCAAAATGATGACAACTAGGGCATGGAAACCATTAGTCGGGTAACAGGTACGATTCGGAAAAACGCACCCCGTGCATCAACAAAAGGGCCATGGAGCTGCACGCACTGACTGCAGCAGCACTATGAACATAATTAAAGTGCAGGGTTTTTGATTGCCTGGCATCTACGTCAATCGAGCGGCTATGGGATCGGTTTCAACAGCATGAGTCAACACGTTATCGCCCAAGGTCGGGACGACCGAGAGTAAACACCCCCTCCCAACATCGCTACATCTACGTGAAAGGACGACCACAGACACCTCAACTGCATACCAAATACCCGGACTGCGCTGGATCTCCGACCAGACCGTACAAAGCATTGAAGAGCAGCAGGTCTACAAGCAAGACGTCCTGTTCGACGCGTCATATTGAGTCGACAACATCGTCAACAATGAGTGAATACACAGTGTATGGTCTCAACTGCGATAGAGAGGTGTCTGGTTCAGCAGCCAAATAAGATTACTTCTCAGTCGAGGAGATGGAAGAGCACGGTTCTACAGACGTCTTGGAGAACGATACGCCGGAAACTGCTTAAAGGAAGTTGACAGGTTTGGTGGGGGTAGCATTATGATGTGGGCGACTATCTCTCATTACTGCAGGAGAGGTTTGGTCCATATCCAGGGCAATCTTACGGCTCAACGATACGTCAACGAAATTCTCCTACCACATGTCCTCCCAATTGCAGCCAACAACGGTGTATTCCAGCAGGACAACGCTCGACCACATACAGCACAGATCACATGAGCCTGTTTTTACAACAACAGCATAAATGTTCTCCTCTGGCCCTCCAGATCCCCGGATTTGAAATCGATAGAGCAACTGTTGGATGAATGGGATAGAATGCTGCGCCCATATCAACCACAACCCCAGACGTTGTAACAGTTGGTTTTTGCGTTGCAGGCCGAGTTGGCCACCATTCCCCAGGATGTGATTCGCATACTCGTCTGTTCCATGGGCAGGAGATGTCAGGCCACTATCGATTCCAACGGGGGACACACGCGATATTGATGGTAGCTGACCTTCACCTTGGACTTTTACTATGTACCGATAACTGAGATGACTACAATCACCAAATGTTCTCTCCACAACATTTTAGCTCAATACCTCATATAAATGTATTTTCCTACCTAATATAAATCTGGCAATGCGTTTCCGTTTTTGAAGAGTATTGCAGTTTAAATGTTGTCCAGACAAATTGAAATGACGAAGTAATAAAAACCAATAACTCTGCGGAAATGAAAAGCACAATTGCAATGTGCCCAACTTAATGTTGAAGTGGTCATGTGGACAAAGTTTAATTGAAATCAGTCAATTAATTTAGAAGGAATTGTCCGGAAAGTTATTTTTACGGACACACCGTCAGATATGCGGAACTAATAATCTATTTTTCAAAAGGACTTCATAAATAGATATTTACTGATATATATGTTTGAAACCTGTAAATTACAAAATGACGACTGTGAGACCATCTTGGATATCTGCATGGGGTTATATTACTGGACCTTGTGCTGATCATATACACCTAGTTTCATAAGGAGCACTTATTTGTATGGGAAAATAGTCTTAAATATGGTTACTTTTCTAAATATCGAACAATGAGAAATCTCAATTCCGATGCGTTTGTAATAAAATCTGCTTTGTGTGCAAAAATGTATCTAAACGAAATCGAACAACTGAATTTTGACAAATCAGATGCCACGGTTACATTGCCATGATGGCAAGAAAACCTATTCTGATGAGTCGTGAAACACAACGTACCTAAATACCAAATGTGAATGAAATCCCTGAATATCGATCAATCAGCTCAGCAGATGCTGATTTCCGTTGCCATGGAACAAAGGTAGTTATGTAAATAACGTCATATTGTCGTGTGTCCCATCTATGTACCAAGATTGAACAAAATCAGCAAAATGACATGTCAGTAATGACCACTGTAAGAAAACCTATAAATAACGACCAGGTTGTCGTTGTTGAGAGGTTGTTGGAATATGAAAGGTGCAGTGCACTTACACAAGTTCCTTGTCTCCACTACATGTTGGTCCTGAGAAAACACGTAAAGTAAAAGGCAGAATTTGTTTTATTGCGAATAATTATAAGAAACCGTGCAGAAGCAATGAAAAATGTGAAAATAGAAAAAGTACCGCATATTTCCAATCAAACTTTGTTTGAAGAATCTTTTACAATAAGGGACGATATGTAACGATGTTAACCCTTAATGTGAAAAAAATGATTTTTACATTCAGGATTGCGGGCTGTTACATTAAGGGTATTTTTTACATTAAGGGTTGTGACAGGGCTGATACAATTTGGATAATTGTGGAACTTATTTATACAAATTGCACTTGTTCACACACTCCCCTGCTAAATCATGATGGCCTCCATCATTACGAACCACTAACAAGATTAACATGAGCATCAAACACATAATACTGATTGCTTAGTAAAAAGTCCTGAGCAAATTCACTGGAATGCCAGTTCATCTGATCAAACAATATGTTCAACAATTAAGTCAATAGAAATGTCACTTCAAAACAGATTTTGGCTCTGCATTTGTCCTTAGAAAATCGGCAGAGTCACATTGGTTCTAAAGTGGAGTCATCATTACTCCCGCTGGAAGTACACAATAGTCCAGATCACTGTCGTCATTTGAAGACAGACTGTTACTGTCACTGAAGTTATCAGCAGTTGACTAGTTCCGGGCAATTGACCACAGTTCTTGTTCCAATGCTTCCAGCAGCTGGCTCATAAACATGTATATACACATTTACACAGAGTCAAGCCTTTCAATAGTCTTGTAGATTCTGTCGTCCCAAGAGGAGGATTCCGCAACCAGACCCTTTCTCCCAGACAACAGTGGCTCCTTTGTACATCTATCATGAGCATCCGTCCTTGCCAAAGCCTCTAGCTTCAGACGCTCCCTTGTTAGTACACAAGACAAAGAGGCAAGTGAGTTAACTGACTATGAAAGTCCAGTTTCCAGTTTCCACCCTTGCCGAACTAGGCTGGTATTATGGAGTTAGATTTTGGCTGGGCTAACGAGTCTATGCATAGTCCAATCAAAATCGCGAACCGAAATCGAAATCCGGTTCCTGGAGTGTCTCGCAGATTTCGGTCGACTGCAGGATTTGCAAAGCATGTGCACCGCCAACTCGTTTGCAACAGATATTTTCTAAATCTTTTCATATTTTGAATCAAGGTGCTCACGTGATTTGATGCACTTCGCGATGTAAGACTTTTTTTATGACAATATAGATCTTGATTATCGATCAGATCGTCTTGACTGCACCACCGTTTTGTTTGAAACAAATGCAAGTGTTACGAGAGGTTGAATGTGATTGTTCAATAGGAGAGGCTTAGAAAGGACATAACTCGTAATAGCCACTGGTGGTGCTACGATCGAGCCCAGGAATTCCAGCCTAGTTCAGCAAGGGGGAAACTGGACTTTCAAAGTCAGTTAACTCTCTTGCCTCGGGAAGATGAACAAAGACGTGATTGGAGGAAACTGACAGAGGGATGCTGAGGGATCAGTTGAAGATCCTTCTTCATTTCCCAGAAGAATGCCCAAACATCAGGTAGAAGGGTGGAATCCTGTCATGTTGTGTGGTTTAGAGGACCACCACTTCAGGTAAATGTTCTAGCCATGTTCTTTTGCTTTATGGGCAGAGTTTGCAGAAGATCTTGAATGGTGCAATTAATAGTTTTGCACTGCCTATTGCCTACAGGATTGTAAGGCATATTACGGCTCTTGCGAATAGGATAGATCTTAGTTGACCTAAGATTCGAAATTCAAGCCTTGGTCAGAATGAAGATGTAGTGGTGCACCATATTTCAAGAATCATTCCTGAACCAATGCCTTGGCTGTGGGGTTGGCAGTTTGATCCTTCATTGCAGCATATTAAAAATATATCTAGCATATACATTTACTCGCTATAAGTTAATTAAACTTGATCAGTATAAACTTCTCTGAAGAGATATATAGAGTGAGTGAGTGAGTTGTGTTTAACGCCGCTTTTAACAGTATTCCAGTTATATCACGGCGTGTCAGCTTAATGTGGGAGGAAAGCCCGAAGTGATGCAGGTCTCAGACGTTTACCACTTCGGTGAAACCCACGAGCACGGGTATGGTACTGACAAACCTCGAAACATAATCGGGGAGAACAGGGATTCGAACCCACAATCATAGGTTTCTGGCGTGCCCAAGGGACGCAACTCTGCACAGCGTGCCCCCCAGATATATATAGATCAAGATGACGACTGATAGCCTTATTCTGAAACCTTCTAGCACTGTAATTTATCGAACAATTGAACTTTCAACAGCTAAGCTGCACCACCCTAAAGACTTAAATCATGACTTCATACTCTTTTTTTGCTTAGAATATTGTTTTGAAGTAGATTATTCTAGTTTCTAACACAGATTCTCTCATTTGCAGCCTCGGTTGATGTAGAACAATTGGAACCACTTAAACCTGTTGAAGGTTTGAACACAGACTCACCTATTTATGTAATGTTAGCTCACCTGCTTGAAAGTGAGCTTATGTCATGGCGTATTTGTCTCATGCCAGTGGTGTGCTCTCCGGCGTAAACATCTTCACAAATTTGTTCAAGAGAGTCAGATTCGATTTTCACTATGGCCGCCATAGCAAAAATGCTATTTGAGAACATTATTTGGTCATCTTTGTTCAAACTGGAATTCTAGAATGTGTGATACATATGATCAGCAATTAGTGATTACAGCAATTACACATACCAACACCGAATAGAGTACTAACAACTTACGACTTTCATTGTTTGCTACGATGAGTGAGTAAATTTGGTTCAGTGTTAGCTGATGATGGGTTTGAAGTACATTATCCTAGTCTCTAAACTTATGTCATGGCATTATGTTTATCCGGCGTTTGTCATTCGTCATTCAGTATAAACATGCTCTCCTCAGAAGCCACAAAACCAAAGAAACTGAACACATACTTCATCTCACCAATGATGACAGCCCAATTGTTCAAGAGACTTCAATCCGATTTTTACTATTGCGACCAAGGCAACCGTTTTTAAAATGCTAATTATGGCCATTACTCAGTCATCTTTGCTCAACATGGAATGCAATTTGGTCCATGAGTAGTTTGTAGTGTGGCTCAACACAGATTCTGTTTTCGCGACATTTTAAAATTTTTACTTTGATTTCATCTTATCACTTTGACGACTGATAGCCTTATTCTGAAATCTTCTAGTACTGTAATTTATCGAACACTTGAACTTTCAACAGATAAGCTGCACCACCCTAAAGACTTAAATCATGACTTCATACTTTTGTACATTTTTTGTTTAGAATATTGTTTTGAAGTATACTCCTCACAAAAAGTTAAGCAACAAGTATTATTTTCCGTGCAACATTCTCATCAATGTTGAATGACATCCACTGAGAACAAATTCAGGCAGGAAAATTACCTACGAATACTCGACTTAAAGCCTTTTCCATGTAGATTTTCCTGATAACACTGATAACATCGCCTGAACACAACCACCCTCAACACACACATGCAAAATGCACGACATGCATGTTTTACACACTTCACCCATGCACCCTGATTGCTTAAAAACTGCCAGCAAGGGCAATTTGTCGCGATTAACACTTTAGGTGACATGGCTAGGCGTCACTTAACGCCAACTGAGGTTGCTCAGAATTTTGGAATGGTACAAGGGGGTGTCACCCAAACTGCTGTTGCCAATCATTTTAATGTTCACTGCAGTGTCATCTCAAGAGCAATAACTCAATACCATCAAACTGGACTGATGACAGAGAGACCACGCACAGGTCGTCCAAGGGTGACAACTCCTCGCGAGGACTGGTATTTAGCCACCCTAGCCCAGAGAAACAGGTTTACTATGGCCAGATCTCTCCAGAATGAGAGATGACCTTCAGAGAGTTGCAGGAAACAGAGTCTCAACACAGACAGTAAGAGACAGACTTCACGCTCAGGATCTGAGGTCCAGATGACCAGTACAATGTATCCCACTGCCTGCACACCATCGACAACAGAGACTTGCTTGGGCCAATCAACGCCGTAGCTGGAGGGTCAATCGCTGGCGTAACGTTCTCTTCACAGACGAGTCAAGATTCTGCCTTGACTTCAACGATGGTATAGGGCACGCGTGTGGAGAAACCGTAATGAAAGATACGCCAACTGTACAATTGCTGAACACGACCAGTACAGAGGTGGAAGTTTGATGATCTGGGCTGGCATCAGGGTTGGACACAGAACTGATCTTGTGGTCATCAGACGTGGTACCATGACTGGAGTATGGTACAGGGACGAGATTGTCACACCTGTGATCATTCCCCTGGCACAACAAGCAGGTCCTAACTTCATCTTTATGGATGATAATGCTCGTCCACATCGAGCAAGAGATGTCACTGATCTTCTTCAGATCAACAACATCACGCACATGGACTGGCCTGCAAAGTCTCCAGATCTTAATCCCATTGAACATGTATGGGACATTCTTGGCAGGCGTGTTTATGGTCTTCATGTTCGTCCTCAGAATATGGATCAACTTGAACAGGCCTTAAGGACAGAATGGCAGAACATTCCACAACAGACACTTGATAGGCTTATCTGGTCAATGCCAAGACGTGAAGAAGCTTGCATTCTAGCCAATGGTGGACATACACGTTACTGAACTTGGATCATTGTTTCAAAATGACTTAAACTCAAATTTAAAGATTTTCATCTTTCAGTGCAGCACATTTTGCACGACTGTTTTCATGATTCTGTTTTTGATCATTTGAAGACCTGTTAGGCATAAACGCTTTTCAGTTCCCTTTGAGGACAGTGTGAGTTTGTGCTCTTTCTTTGTATTGCTTTAGTCAGTTTTTAGGTATTGGAATATTTGAACATGGACTGACACATAATAGATTTGTTGCTTAACTTTTTGTGAGGAGTATAGATTATTCTAGTTTCTAACACAGATTCTCTCATTTCCAGCCTCGGTTGATGTGGAGCATTTGGAACCACTTAACCCTGTTGAAGGTATGAACACAGACACATTATTTATGTAATGTTAGCTCACCTGCTTGAAAGTGAGGTTATGTCATGGCGTATTTGTCCCATGCCAGTGGTGTGCTGTCCGGCGTAAACTTCTTCACTAAAGAAACAACTGATCCAATGCTGAAACTTCACATACTTGTCCACACCAATGATGACCAAATTCTTCAAGAGAGTCAGATTCGATTTTCACTATGGCCGCCATAGCAAAAATGCTATTTGAGAACATTGTTTGGACATCTTTGTTCAAACTGGACTTCTGATTATATCAAAAGCATGTGTTTATGAATCACTATCAAATAGTGATGGTACCAGGTGTTCGCGAATATGTATCCTGCCCAACCCTAGGCACCCTGTTCAAAAAACTTTTTAGCATCATGAGATCTTCAACGAAGGAACATGCACGATTGTAACCTTAAAATTGTTAAATGTGGACATCAAAAGCAGGAACTCCTTGAATAATGCTCGATTAACATTGACTTTTGGAAAGTGACGTCATCCCTCTTGCTATACAGTTTTGTGGTTTCTTTATGCATAGGTATTAATATTGCTGACTGGGGAGATCAATAACATTTGTTCACTTACTAACTCTGACAGAAGGTGCTAATGTTATTAACATTCAACAATTTATACTTGTATAAATATAATAACCAACTCACATAATATACATGTTTCACTAGCATGTCCCTAATTTGTAAGATGTGTGATACATGGGATCTGCAATTAGTGATTACAGTGATTACACATACCAACACAGAATAGAGTACTGACAACTTACGAATTTCATTGTTTGTTACCCATGAGTGAGTAAATTTGGTTCACTTTTTAGCTGATGATGGGTTTGAAGTAGATTATCCTATCTTTGCTCAACATGGAATGCAATTTGGTACATGAGCAGTTAGTAGTGGGGCTCAATACATAGATTCCGTTTTCGCGACATTTAAAGTTTTGCCTTGATTTCATCGTTTCACTTTGACATCCAAAAACTAAAACTTCTTATAGTCATTACTCGGCCATTTTCTTCCAAAATGCAATGGAATTTGTCATAAGGGTAGTTGGTAATATGCCTGTATTTTTCACAATACTTTCGTCATAGTTGACCTTTGACCATGTTCATAAATTATCATAAAATGCATTTCTTCACACTCAAAAACTACTGTACCAATGAAGTTGTAACTGCTCATGCAGCCATAATGAAAAATCGTATCTATTACCATTACCCACCATTTTTTAACAAAATGTAATGAATTTTGCTATTTCTTTAGGGTGGTGTGGGTTTCAACACACATGGTCTTTAATAAAACAAAATGTTGAAGTTGTTTTGACAATACTCTTAAATGTTCTCAAAAAGTAAATATTTTCTGGAATTAGTTTAACTTTGGCATATTTGTTTTCAAATAATTAGATTTTATTTAAGTTTTTCCTCACTATTTATGCACAAAATATTTGAAAAGCAGTGTCGACAGCAACATTTATTAAGATGATGTCTTTGTTGAATTTTTAAACTCTTGATTACATATTCTACCATGAATTTGGAATTTACTCGATTCTGATTGGTCTATCAGAGGCTATTAAATCACAATAAACCCCCTCTGTTTGAAACAGCTGGTTTGACAACCGCATCACCGCGGAAGCTGACATTCACAGAATAGTACTTTTTTCAGTCATTGTCGGTAGGCATATTTAAATAATTATATCTACAATTACAGGTTACAAAATGCACACGTGCGGTTATAACAGTATTCAAAGGACGTGTGGCAATGCATTCCATGCAGAAATCACGATAGAAATCTACAAAGGGAATGTATTTACGTTTTGGAGACAACAGAGAACTTTGAATTTTGGCGCTTGTCTATATACGACTGTGACGTCATATCTTTTGCGTCACAATGAGCGACGTGACGTCATAATGGTGACGCGCGAAAGCCTTGCAAAGCTTGCTTTGTTTTCCTTAGGGATGCCCATCTCATGTTAGCTTACCAAGTTGCCGTGCTTATATGCTTTCAGTGCCTGTCATATGTTCGAGTGAAGTATTACGGTGTAAACAAACTGCTTGAGTATACACAGCACCATATTTTGTTTGGTGATTCCGTTATTCAGATCGATAACCCACTCAAAACACTGGACTCAACCCATGCCGCTTCACCAAATAGTTCGTGTTTTATTTAGTCATGGTAGAATGGAGATAAACATGCTGTGTTTTCAATGTAGAGCTAGGCTATTCATTGTAGAGCTAGATTTAACCGACCGCGCTAAATTTAACATTTGAAACCTCACGCTGCACGTTCGGTTCCAAATTCAGTATAGCGCGGTTAAATCTGCAGGTAACGTAGCTCTACATTGAAAACACAGTATGTTTATCTCCTAATTCATGGGAGCTTCAGTGCTGTGGGACTATCTTAAATTTCTTTTATATGGTCTCTTTTGTATTTTTTCAAAATTCATGAATTAGTTGGGCTATTAATACCATTTAAGAGATAAGATAAGATAAGACCAATCTTATTTCTTTTTGAACAGATATAATCTTCAACTTGTCCCCAGCATGAAAAGCTCTTTTCATTTAGTACTGCCCGAGGTTCTTTTGTTATCAATGGCTTATTGTTCAGAAAGATCTTGATAGTTTTTGAAGGCACAATACAGGCAACACAAAAGTTAATGTAATGTAATCCACGATTCCACTATTTATATTAAGACAAAAGAAATTTTATAAACAACCACCTTATTCAATTCTGCACATAACATTAAACACCATCTCAAATCTCTTAATCTCTTCCACTCTTCAATGAAGTTGGAAAATGAGGTAGATGAGGTTGTGTATTGTATAAATGTTATATACAACTCGCATGATATACATGTACCTGTTAAATAATATGTTGTTTGTAACATGTATGATACATATGACCAGCAATAGTCCTTTGTGTTACAGTGGACACTGACCTCCAGACTCAGGACACTGACCTCCATGTTGCCTGCAAGGAGGGGAAACTACAGGCAGTCAGAGATATCCTGGATCAGAGCCCGGAGGACATCAACAAGAAAGGCGGTAGCGGGATGACACCATTGTTGTGGGCAGCAAGAAGGGGACACAGAGAAGTAGTTGACATGCTTGTGAGACAAGCAGCTGATGTTAATGTTGTGGATGTGGCCGGTAACAATATCCTTCACTGGGCCTGTTATGGCGGACATGAGGCAATGGTGAAATATGTCGTCTCAAAGAAAATGGTTGATATCGACAGTAAGGGGCAGGGTGGGAGAACCCCGTTGATGTGGGCAGCTCGAGAGGGAAGAGGAGAATTTTTTAAAATACTTGAAAGTGAAGGGGGTCCTCCATCACAAGTGGACAAAGAAGGAAACAACATCCTTCTATTGGCCTGTTCTGGTGGGAATGTAGATATTGTTGAGTCCATCCTCTCACATGCTGATGACAATATGGACATCGATGGTAGAGGACAGGCCAGGAGGACTCCATTGATGGTGGCAGCACACAAGGGGTGCCAAAATATTTTCGAACTACTTGTGAATAGAGGAGCTAATCAGGAGCTATTTGATGATGTCAATGACAACGTTCTCCATTTGGCCTGTCAGGGCGGAAATGTGGATATTGTTAGCCATGTCCTCAAGCTTGGCAAGGTGGACATAAACAGTCGAGGTCAATGCAGCAGGACACCACTGATGATGGCAGCAAGGCTTGGACATGAGGAAATATTTCATTTACTAGTGAGCGAAGGAGCTGATGCATCACTATTGGATGATGAGAATAACAACATCCTTCATCTAGCCTGTGAGGGAGGGCGTATTGACATGGTGGAGTATGTACTCTCACTGAATATTGTGAACATCAATGCCAGAAACAAACGAAATAAAACAGCAACCATGCTGGCAACAAAGGGAGGTGACGTGTGCAACCTTCTTATGTCACATGGTGATCTCAGTAAGTGAAAGGAGGAGGACAGCTGAGAGTGTCTTTTTTAGAATTGTAGGAAGCATCCTCTCAATTGATCAAGAGAATGTGGTGTCCACGATTTCACTATTATATTAAGACAAAAGAAATTTCCCTAAAAAAATACCTTATTCAATTCTGCACATAGCATTCAACACCACCTCAAATCTCTCAATATCTTCCAATCTTCAATGAAATTGGTAAATACTGCCTACCCTATAGATGAGTTTATGTTCCCGTTGTACCCAGTGGTTTCCCAGGTCAGAGTAGAACCCATTTCTTCACGTTTGTCATAATAACCGACTAAATGTGTGTCACCAATTATGTGGCAAGGATTTTTATCCGTCTGCGACTTGATTATTTAAAGACTGTCTTGATATGAATTGAATTTTGCCGACAGGGCTGCTAAATGTCATTTTTTCAGTCGCCCACTATGGTACTAGTAGCAAATGTTATTTATGTTCAACAATTTGTATTGTATAAGTGCAATACACAACTCGCATGATGTACCTGTTAAATAACATGTTGCTAGTTTGTCAAATGTATGATACATATGACCAGCAATAGTCCTTTGTGTTACAGTGGACACTGACCTCCATGTTGCCTGCAGGGAGGGGAAACTGAAGGCAGTCAAAGATATCCTGGATAAGAGTCCGGAGGACATCAACAAGAAAGGCGGTAGCGGGATGACACCATTGTTGTGGGCAGCAAGAAGGGGACACAGAGAAGTGGTTGACATGCTTGTGAGACAAGCAGCTGATGTTAATGTTGTGGATGTGGCCGGTAACAATATCCTTCACTGGGCCTGTTATGGCGGACATGTGGCAATGGTGAAATATGTCGTCTCAAAGAAAATGGTTGACATCGACAGTAAGGGGCAGGGTGGGAGAACCCCATTGATGTGGGCAGCTCGAGAGGGAAGAGGAGAATTTTTTGAAATACTTGAAAGTGAAGGGTGTCCTCCATCACATGTGGACAAAGAAGGAAACAACATCCTTCTATTGGCCTGTTCCGGTGGGAATGTAGAGATTGTTAAATCCATCCTCTCACACGCTGATGACAATTTTGACATCGATGGTAGAGGACTGTCCGGCAGGACTCCATTGATGGTGGCAGCACACAAGGGGTGCCAAAATATATTCGAACTACTTGTGAATAGAGGAGCTAATCAGGAGCTATTTGATGATGTCAATGACAACGTTCTCCATTTGGCCTGTCAGGGCGGAAATGTGGATATTGTTAGCCGTGTGCTCGAGCTGGGCAAGGTGGACAAAAACAGTCGAGGTCAATGCAGCAGGACACCACTGATGATGGCAGCAAGGCTTGGACATGAGGAAATATTTCATTTACTAGTGAGCGAAGGAGCTGATGCATCACTATTGGATGATGAGAATAACAACATCCTTCATCTAGCCTGTGAGGGAGGGCGTATTGACATGGTGGAGTATGTACTCTCGCTGAATATTGTGAATATCAACGCCAGGAACGAACAAAATGAAACAGCAACCATGCTAGCAACAAAGGGAGGTGAAGTGTGCAACCTTCTTGAGTCACATGGTGGTCTCAGTAAGTGAAAGGAGGAGGACAGCTCAGAGTACCCTTTTTAAGAATTGTTAAAACTGTCACATGCACCAACATGGCACGAGCCTAGGATTTTAGCTGAGAGAACAAGCATCGAGTCCATGATAGTCACATATTCTTCATAAACATTCAGATCAGCAAAACTGAAGGGAAAAATACATCATCCGTGACATAGTTGTTGACATATGATCGTATTTCCTCTGCATATCGTTCAAAAAGGGATCTAGAAATGTATTTTTCATCAGCAATGCTACGAACAAGAATGCCAGCTAGATAGGAACACAAAAGCCTAGATGCTAGAGCACAGCCTGCAGCTTGCCTGGTGTAAGGAGGAAATTCCAACAATCTGGCAATGCCTTTGTGTACCTGGCCCAGTCATCCAGATTGTGACACATGCCTTGCTATAGATGCATCACCCACTGATATTTGAGGAGACAGAACAGTCATCCTCTCAATGGGCACACGTCTTTGACATAAAGGTCATTTCACAAGACGGACAAATGGACAACAGAAAATAAGCAGAAAATATTTTTTCCAGTATATAACTACTTTCTTACTGTATGATACATTTATGTGTCATTACCATCACATATCAGTGGACATCACAGGCGCATACTTAAATAATGATTGCTGTAGTAAACAAATAACCCATATTAGTGTTAATATAAAGTCATAATTGTGATATCTACCAACAAAGACAGATTATTGCTTGCCTTTTGGGACTTGATGATTTCAGTACCACTTCACATAGGACGTACACTGAATGTCTAAAATCAAGCTGTATTTACTTTTATTAACTTTGAGATTATATAGTAGCAAGGCTTCTGTTAAATTATCTTTATTATTCCATATTTTACAACAATGAACCTGTGGCAACGGAAAGACCTCTAGTTGTGAAGAACCAGAGGCAGCAAGTTATTACCAAGGAGTACGTTTTCATGTTACCCTCTGCATTGGCCGTGGGTCCGTCGTGATGGACGTCAATACAGACAACTCATCGCATCCATTAATCTGGATCGTCCACACTGTACACTTGTACACGGAGGCGGTTAGTGGATCTAATTTTTCTCTACTACCCATGTGTCTAGCTTTAGTGTGGAACATTGTAAGTTGCTTGAATTGATTGTAGATGGAAAAATGAGCGGGGGAAAATAACCTTGCAGTCGCTTATGGTATTAAGAAAAGTGAATAGTGTGGAGGAGTTGTCTCCCTTATACCACAGCGATGTTCAGGCAGTATTAAGAAATGGAAACAATCAAGGATGGAGATGTTTAAACACGGATAATTAATTGAACATTATTCTAAACAAAGAAAAGAATTTTATACCATATACTTTACTATTCGGATTCGGGTTTTAAATTCCATAGAAACCCTGGGACTTACTTTTTTTACTTATTAACCGAAACAACATTTATCAACATTTGTATGTTTCAAACATACTTCCCATGAACCTAGGGAAAGGAGCGTAAAAAGTCTCTTCCTGGCGTACTTGAAAAAAACATTCGTTAAAGCATTGTGAAGTATCAGCGCCTCAGTAGCTTGGTGAGTGGACCACTAAACTACAGACAGTTGCAAGGTCGATCTACTGAAATATACAGTAAATATTTGTCATTTGAGGTGACATTATTCCGCACATTCCCTTGTCTGGGTTGTGATCAAATGCCAAATTAATTTCTAGCGAGAGACATTCACAGATCGCAATCGGCAGATGTAAATATAAAATCACTAGGATACCACAGGTATATTATATAATGTATTTGGCATATTATAACAGGTTGTAGTCAAAACGGCCTCATGTCAGAACGGCCTAAAAACTTGAAAGTCAAGATGGCCACTAACATAAAGTCAAAATGGCCTTAAAAGAATCATAACGGCCACAGGTGATAATGTCAAAATGGCCTTAATAATTATATACGCCCACTTAGAGCAGTATGTGTTGTTCTTGTCCCTTGTTCCTTGTCATTATACCCAGCCGCCTGAAGGCGGACAACGTGTCTGTCTTCAGGAACCCTCATGACTGTTACCCCATCCACCATAAGTCAAGCCATCATTATGTACTTTGAGGCAGCAACCTGGCGCTCCTGTGAGACTGAGCTTCCTGGAATTTGCAGTCTTTATTATGTTTGTGGCCGTTGGGACTTTTTCTGTGGCCGTTTTGACTCGACCTTTTGAGGCCATTCTGATTTGAGTCTGTTTTGACCTGCTTCCATTGTATCATCGCCGTTCAGCCCGATTGGAAACCAGTAGGGTAATTTAAATTTCACATAGACAATCTGTGATAAAACATATAGCTCGAGTCCATTTCTTATTACTTTATTTATTTGTTAACATGATTTCATCATTTCTTATACTTATAGAACGAGATGAGTGTTCAATGTGGATATGTGTCAGACGAGTTAGGTTCCTCGCCAACAAACCATTATGAACACATTGACTTCAGATAGTAATGCTTTACGGAGTTCCATAACTTCTTCTTTGTGGGTTTGTAGACCCGTCGGCTGTGTTTTAGAAGGAATTATTTTTTTATCCAGCCTATCACATGTTACGTTTTTAAAATAATTTTAAACATTATGAATAACCATAGGACGAATTATGTATGACAAATCTTGACCTGGCTCAAGTACTTTCTGGGCAATATCATCATTTGTCCAACGCACCGAGGTCCTCCGCAACTTCTGCCTGCCTTGACGACCATGACTTACAGAACATGTGATGCCTTCACAGATGCACGGGGCGGTCGGGTAGCCGAGTGGTTAAAGCGTTGGCTCGTCACGCCGAAGACCCGGGTTCGATTCCCGACATGGGTACAATGTGTGAAGCCCATTTCTGGTGTCCCCCGCCGTGATATTGCTGGAATATTGCTAAAAGCGGCGTAAAACCATACTCACTCACTCACTCACTCACAGATGCAATTTCTATTACATACAGGGCGGTCGGGTAGCCTAGTGGTTAAAGTGTTCGCTCGTCACGCCGAAGACCCGGGTTCGATTCCCAACATGGGTACAATGTGTGAAGCCCATTTCTGGTGTCCCCCGACGTGACATTGCTGGAATATTGCTAAAAGCGGCGTAAAACCATACTCACTCACTCTATTACATACATGTATGACATTTATACTTTTTTGCCCAAATTCACTGCATGCTTTCTGTGTTTTGTTATTGATAAATGATATTTTAATATTGGTAGAATATATTGGATAACTAAGATTGTTAGTGGCTGTACCTCAAAGGGAGTTGAAGAAGTGTAGAAGGATTGGCCCCGGAGATGGTACGTTAGTCCACGTCATTCAGAGTATATCTATTACTGCCTAGGTTATAATATAATATATATGTAATTATATGTTCTTTTAATTCGGCTAAATTGTCAATAGTCGCCAACTCCTAAAGCAAGTCTCAATGGTCCCTAGTAGGGTCCCTACCATAGCTCGGTTTTATAACGTATTGATATGTCTAGTGATGTATTTTTATGGTTCAATGCTAGTTTTAAATCATAATCTGTGAAACGTCTACTTATTTTAATGTCCCTTGTTGACAGGTTCTTATAGTTTACATTTCTTTATTATTAAATAACCTTTGAAAGTAAATTTATGGATGAAATATTGATGTGACTTTAATTTTAACTCACTCACTCACTGCTTGTTTTCAACAAATGATTCAATATGAATTTGCGAGATGTTGTAATGCTTGTATTAAAGTTGGTTTTATCCTATTTCGCTATTGCTGTAGAATGAATTAAACAATTACAGATATTAATTGAGTCATCATTTCAGTTTATTGTCCATATGGAGAGGTGCAGCCGTGAATCATAGACAAAAGGTCATCAAAGACAGTTGTCATTGATCAAACAGGAAGGGGTGAGTTTGACTTTCGGATAATGTAAATGGGAGTAGTGCTGCAAACAATTAAATGTTAGAAATTGAGTGAAATGTGTAAATGTGTAAAAGAAATCAGCAAACTGACATATATATGAGACATATAAGGCGTAACACCATCCTCACGCGTGTTCAGTTGTGTAAATGTTATTGAGAATAACGTCTTATTTGGTCATTTCTCTTATACATGATTTTTCATAACAAATTCATTAACAAAACCCATACCTGGTAGTAGGAGAAAGAGCGACACGCCCTAAACGAGGGGTGGTGTACCAAGTCAATTCACAAAGTCAATATCGTGTGTTACCACCATTTGCATTGACACAGGCGGGGCAGCAGCACCGGATGAATGACAACAGCCTGGGGGATGTTGTTTCAAATGTGAACCAAAGATGGATCAACATGCTAGCGGTACCGGCTGGTTCTGGTTCTGGTTCTGGTCCTGTCGTAGACATCGATCCATCTAATGCTAGACATGTTCTGTAGGGGAGAGCTGTGGAGAAACAGTCGGCCATGGGAGTACAGCAAGGTTATGCTGCCTCAAAAAGTCTATAAAAACATTGTTGTTTATCTATATGTCATTTATCTATATGTTTGTCTATATGTAGTTGTAATATTGCACTATATAAGATAGTGTGGATTGTACTCGGGAAGTCATCAATATTTAAATACGGGTAAATGTTTTTAAAGCTTGTACAGTTTATCGACACCCTTAATAAAGGCTGTTCAAAATGTTGATATCTCATATAAGAAATATACGATTCGTGATCGTTGTACGATAAACAACTCCCACTCGTCGTTCATTTCTTATGTAATATCCACTTCCCTACGCAATGCTCCGTGAAGCATAAAAACTCCGTCATTTTATACAATACAAACAATGTTTTACAGGAGTGGTCATATTACTAACATGGCCCCTCGCATGTGCATAATATATATGTGTAAGTTGTCAATGTGGTTGTATTTCACAGTGAAGTGTGACTGAAGCAGTAGTCTCCCTTGTACTGTGCTTGTCCTGACACTGAGCCTCTACCCCCTCACTGCTGTGTTGATGTTGATATGACTCCCGCACCGTTCTGCGCTTATACACATATTACTATGACATTGTTCATATGACTAACGGTCACTGGTGTAAGCCGCACGCGGCATGTACTCAATGCAATATTGGAGGTCTGTCTAGTATACCTGAACCCGAAGGACGAGCATCACAGTTGGCAATGGTTTACACACTGTGGCAGTGTTGGTATGACTGTACTAGCGGCAACGACTACCACACAGTCCGGTTACTTGACTCGACTGTATGATTGTATGAATGAATGGATGCTACACACGGGGTGACATGGGGAGTGAGGACACTACTGACACTCCAGACCATACCGTATACATGACAGTGTGTGACCAGTGTAATATCATCACACTATATATACAAACGTTGGGTGACACTGCAGACCACGGTGGTCGAGTGTGTATACTGTATACATGACAGTGTGTGACCAGTGTAATATCATCACACTATATATACAAACGTTGGGTGACACTGCAGACCACGGTGGTCGAGTGTGTATACTGTATACATGACAGTGTGTGACCAGTGTAATATCATCACACTATATATACAAACGTTGGGTGACACTGCAGACCACGGTGGTCGAGTGTGTATACTGTATACATGACAGTGTGTGACCAGTGTAATATCATCACACTATATATACAAACGTTGGGTGACACTGCAGACCACGGTGGTCGAGTGTGTATACCGTATATATGACAGTGTGTGACCAGTGTAATATCATCACACTATATATACAAACGTTGGGTGACACTGCAGACCACGGTGGTCGAGTGTGTATACTGTATACATGACAGTGTGTGACCAGTGTAATATCATCACACTATATATACAAACGTTGGGTGACACTGCAGACCACGGTGGTCGAGTGTGTATACTGTATACATGACAGTGTGTGACCAGTGTAATATCATCACACTATATATACAAACGTTGGGTGACACTGCAGACCACGGTGGTCGAGTGTGTATACTGTATACATGACAGTGTGTGACCAGTGTAATATCATCACACTATATATACAAACGTTGGGTGACACTGCAGACCACGGTGGTCGAGTGTGTATACTGTATACATGACAGTGTGTGACCAGTGTAATATCATCACACTATATATACAAACGTTGGGTGACACTGCAGACCACGGTGGTCGAGTGTGTATACTGTATACATGACAGTGTGTGACAAGTGTAATATCATCACACTATATATACAAACGTAGGATGACACAGCAGACGACTGTGGTCGAGTGTGTATAAAGTATACATGACAGTGTGTGACTATCGAAAATAAGAATTTATTTTATATAAACCTACGCCTGGCTTTAGCATTTAAGGTTTTATATAAAATTTATTCAAATTATGCAACAAAGGATGGCGACGGAAATAGTGCACAGCCTTTTCCCGTGCCTTCCTAGCCTGTTTGCGGTCATTGTTAAACAATGGTTTACAGATGTGTGGATTTGTAGAGGACTTAGGAATACATTCATCAGCCATTTTGTTTAACTCATCAGGAAATAATTGTACAGGGTCAGTAGCGTGAATAAACAGGTCAGGTGTTAATTTATTGGATGCAAGCATTTCAAATATAGGCCAGTTGGCCTTAGGAAAGATCCATCTTGTTGAAGGAGGAACATCTGAATAAGTGAGTGAGTGAGTTGGGTTTAACGCCGCTTTTAACATTATTCCAGTTATATCACGGCGTGCCAACTTGATGTGAGAGGAAAGCCCGAAGTGATGCAGGTCTCAGACGTTTACCACTATGGTGGTGACAAACCTAGAAACATAATCGGGGCGAACCGGGATTCGAACCCACAACTATGATTAGATGACTTGGCCACCCGTGCCCCCGGAATATCTGAAGGTAATACAGGTTTTTAAATAGTTGGGAAATGATCACTGCCATAGAGGTCTTCGTGGACGGACCATTCAAATTCGTTTAATAAATCAGACTGAGTGAGAGATAAATCAAGAGCAGAGTAAGTACCTGTACCGGGATGTAGATATGTGTTTGAACCATCATTATGGATACACAAGTCGCTGTACCAAAAGAAATCCTCCAAAAGTTTACCCTTGTTATTTATATGAATACTGTCCCAGAGTGGAGTGTGCCCATCTAAATCAGTCGCATAATAATACAGGGCTCGGGGTGTTGATCATAAAAGAGCTTGAAGTTCAGACTGCCGAATGGAAGAAAATGGTGGAATAGAGAGTGAACACAAAGTAAAAACTATGTGTAAGGTTACACGGACGGCAACAGCTTGAAGAGGAGTAGCAAGATGAACGCTGTGGATAACGCCGTGTTTCATGAATATTGAAGAACCTCCAGTGGCTTTTGCACCTGTACTGGGGGAGAAAAGACATTGTAGGAGGTAAAACCTCTTATATCAAGTTTATCCGTGTCTTCGTAATATGTTTCTTGTAGACATATTGCCGATGGTTAAAATTCTGATTTAAAAGTTGAAAATCATTATAATTATTCTTAAGTCCTCTACAGTTCCACTGTATTAAATGTGATGATTGAGTCACGGTGGCTCAATGGGTGATCTCTCACGTGAACTCCTACTGCTACTGTTTGACGATGGAGTCACCTCCATGTCTAAAGCGCTGAAGGAATTATGGAGAGATACCCCAGAAGGAGACAGGGTACTGGGTGTCTGATTTCTATTTAACTTTTTTCTTTGTGTTTGTGATATTGTTCGGTCCAGAACAAGTCTGAGTCCCTGCCTTGACACTATCGGGTGGTGATGCAGACTGACTGTTAGATATATCGATGTTAGTGATAGACGCAGTTTCAACTAGTTGAACAGAAGTGACCCTTGTCAAATCGGTTTGACACTGAACAGGTGAAGTGGTTTT